ATCAACCATCCTAGCCTAGTACGGGTTGGTTGACTTCACACATATCTTTGAATTTCTTCACCGATATGTGCAGGTTGCATCACGATGTTTTCCTTCACCGTAAAAACGTCGGGTAAATTATGTACATATGAAATTCGGAAATTATATGACGGGAATCGAACCTAGGACCTGCACTACAAGTCAAATACTTAAATCCCTGACCCAAACTCTTAACTAAATTATACTTAATCTGATTTCACAATGTTGGTGTTATAACCGTTATAATTAGCAGTTACCGCATAACCGCTATATAATTCACATCACTAGTTACACGAGTCGATCCCCTCTGCCCAGCTGTCAACAATAATAATGTTAAGGTGCGAAACTTCTCGCAGATACAAGTTTCCTTGTTCATTAGAATTATAATACCAGACTTGTGTTACGGTCAAAGTGGTTGATTCCGGCATTATGAAAAGTTACTAAACAATTTCATGATTTTTCTTTTATTCATTAACTAGCCGTTCCCGTGCGGCTTCATCCTCATGAAATTATGAAAATTTTATTTTATTGTTTACATTTGTCAAATTATCAATAGCAAATGTCAAAATGACATGACATTACAAACCTTGGCAATCTTACTTCCTTGATGTTGGCAGCAATTTATGGTCTCTTTCCCATATTAGGGTTTTAATCCAAATTATTTACCCCCTAAGTTTAATGGCGTAAAATTATATAGCCTAAAGCGTGACGTAAGTATAGGGCTTTTTATTAAAAAAAAGAATTATTCAAAAATATGCTGTAATTGGTTACATCTTAGGCAACAAAGAAGTGTGTTTACGCTTTATTATAATAGTATAGATTTTTCATATTTATTGTTGGCTTTTACGGTGACACTCTGATGGTCACACTTCTTAAGCATTGCTTTGGCTAAACTATGGGACAACTGTTGTGCGATTGTCGATTGTTTTGAAGTCTTCAACCGTTTAGTTGCACAACTAAAAATCGAGTCCATAAGCTCATAGGAATCAAGGCGAGACTAAACAGTTGTGGGAAATAAGCTTGTTAAAACCGAAGGTTGGCACGTGAGTTCAGCCGTATATATCTATATTCTATATTCTATATTCTATATTCTATATTCTATATTCTATATTCTATATTCTATATTCTATATTCTATATTCTATATTCTATATTCTATACTAAATTTATAAAGAGGAACGATTTGTATTTTTCTATGTATTGGAATAACTCAAAAACTACTGGGCTGATTTTAAAAATTCTTTCACCGTTAGAAAGGTAACATAAACTATATTTAACATTGTTTTTTTTTAATTCCACGGGGACGGAGTCGCGGGTGAAAGTTAGTAATTGCGCGCTCTAAGTGACTCTATTGAATTTTTCATGTGAACTAATGCATTAAGTGCATAACAGGTGTTTGCTGCGTTCCTGTTCTCAGATTAAGGCTTTACGTTCGAAGCAACGATGCGTTGGACCGGTGACTGATCAAAGGCTCTATTAAAGCCTGAAAACGTTACGTGTTTACCCCCTTTGACGTGCAAGGATGAGTGACTACCTAATATAATGCAAAGTTCATATACCTGGAAATGTACTATGTCCCGATGAGTGGGGCTGTTGACGAGGTTAAGTAAAATGTGCAAAATCTACGATTACTCATAGAAAATGACGCAAAAATTGGTTAGTCCTATCTATACTATTATAATAAAGCGTAAACACACACTTCTTTGTTGCCTAAGATCTCAGCAATCAAAGCATATTTTTGAATAGTTCTTTTTTTAATAAAGGCCTAAGCTTACGTGACGCTTTAGGCTATATATTTTCATGCCATTAAACTTAGGGGGAAATATTTTAAATAGAAATCCTAATGTGGGACATTAGGATTTCTATTTAAAATAAACAAGAGACCATAAATTGCTGCCAACATCAAGGAGGCAATTGTCATTTGTGCATTTGAAATTTGACATTTCGCGGATGAAGCCGCGCTGGAACAGCTAGTACTTCTATATCTATATTGATACTAATAAGAGCTGTTGCCCGCGACTTCGTCCGCGTGGTATTAGAAAACATACGAACTATATAAATGACAAATGCTACGTATACCTCGGGAACTGGACATTTCTCGGAGATGAAGCTTAGCCCATGTGTACTCCAGACTTTTGTTTTATATCTGTGCAAAATTTCAAAAGGATATGTTGAACCGTTGCAGGATGATCGAGTAAACATTAAAAACTAAATTAATGAATCCTACGGGAACCGTAACTATTCCCGGGATAAAAAGTAGCCTATGTGTTCTTCCAGACTATGCTTTAAACCTGTGCCAAATTTCATTAAGATCCGTTCAGTAGTTTAGGCTACAAACGCTAACCAACATCCATCCATCCATCTAAACTTTCGCATTTATGATATTATATAAGAATTAGTAATATTATAAAGAGGAAAGATTTGTATTTTTTTATGTATTGAAATAGCTCAAAAACTACTGGGCCGAATTTAAAAATTCTTTCACCGTCAGAAAGGTAATTTATCTGTGAGTAACATAGGCTATGTTTTTATTAATTTCACGCGGGCGAAGTCGCGAGCTATAGCTAGTATTTTTACATATGAACTAGCTGTTGTTCGCGTCTTCGTCTGTTGTGTTACTTTTTTTTATAACATAAGGTGGCAAACGAGCAAGCGACCACCTGAATTCGCCAAAATGGCGAAGCGACTGCTGCCCGTAGACATCCGCAATTGAAGATGCGTTGCCTACCCTTATACGACGGAGGAGGAGACGCATATAAAGAGGATATTTCCCCTTCCTATGCACATCCTCCACCGTCAAATCCACTTCCCCTTCCCATCCTCTCCTTATAAGAAAAGGGTGGTAAAGGGAAAGGGACTTAAATTAGGCTTCCGACACCACACTCATCAGACGAAACACGAAATTGCTACCATTTCACGCCTGTCTTCTGTGTGGTCGTGGTATTAGACTGGGCGTGCCGGCCCTACAGTACTAAGATTTTAAAGCGGGCACTAGCACTGTAAAACTGTGTACTTAGTGATTACAAAGGTATGATGGCGGATAGAGTTATTTGGAGGACGAAAATCACCGTCGACCGTCGGAGTAGGATAAGGTAGGAGGTAATGATTCAATAATCATATGATTATAACACTTTCTAAGAATAAAAACATATAAAAAATATGCAAATATAAGCGATATAATCTCGTTGTCCTTTGTGAGTTAAAAGGCAGTCGAGCGAAAGAACGATCAAAGAGTTTTAAAGCTTGTCTATGCTCGATTGACGGTGTAAGCCGATTAGTCTATGGTCAGCGCTGACCAATGATTAAGCGCTCACGTTCTTTATTTAAAATTATGACGTTAAAACGCTCAGTTGAGCTGCGCCCTTCATCCGTGCAGGACGTCTTTTGATCATGCGAGTGGAATTTTTCGCTCTAAAAAATATAGTTGTTTATACAAAAATATACGCGCGGGTGGCTAATGAGGGTTGAATTCCGACCTATTTGTTTTTTGGGACACTGGTTTTCTAGATGACCAAACAAATGTTTACAAATAAATGAACAAAGAAAGTAGGAAAGGGTTTTTTTTTTATTTAAAATGAAGGTTTTTTACTTCCTTTAAAATCAGTTCACTCGTGTGTTTTAAATGAACTTCCATACATACATATTCACATACACACATCAGAATCATTACAATGTTACTAATCATACTAATATTATAAATGTGAAAGTTTAGATGGACGTGTGTTAGAGTTTGTAGCCTAAACGGCTGAATGGATTTCGATGTAATTTGTCATAGATGTAGAGGATAGTCTGGAAGAACTTACTTTTGTTTTTTGCAAAACCATGTGGACGGAGTCACGGACGAAAGCTCGTATTATAAATGCGAAACTAGATGAATGTGTTTGTTAGAATTTGTAGCCTAAACTGCTAAAATTCGATGAAATTATTCTTGTAGAGGATATGCTGGAAGAACATATAGAGATATATACAAGAACCTATTTTTTAATTCCACGTGGACGGAGTCGCAGGCGAAAGCTAGTAAATAAAAGTAAAAATAAATATCAAAACATAATTTACTGGATTGTATGAGACAATAACATTATACACAAATTAGATACACGGCCGGATACTGAAACGAATCTTGAAAGTTTCGCGCACACTTGACTAAACTATCTCACAATTATTTATTCTCGCTTTGATACCGAACATATATGGAGGTACACTACTCGTTAGTTGTGCAACTAAACAGTTGAATTGCGAAACAATCGACAATCAATTTTACAGTGGTAGTGCCCGCTTTAACATGTTAGCAGTGCAGGGCTCGCCCCCAGTAATACCGCGACCACACAGAAGACAGCCGTCAAATGGAAGCAATTCCGTGTACAGTCTGATGAGTGTGGTGCCGGAGACCTAATTTAAGTCCCTTTCTCTTTACCACCCTTTTCTTATAAGGAGAGGATGGGAAGAGGAAATGGATTTGACTGTGGAGATGCATAAGAAGGAGCAATATCCCCTTTATGTGTGTCTTTTCCTTCTCTTTCATAACATAAGGTGGCAAACGAGCAAGCGGCCACCTGAATCCGCCAAAATGGCGAAGCGACCGCTGCCCATAGACATCCGCAATTGCAGATGTGTTGCCTACCCTTATCCGACGGAGGAGGAAACGCACATAAAGAGGATATTTCCCCTTCCTATGCATCTCCTCCACCGTCAAATCCACTTCCTCTTCCCATCCTGTCCTTATAAGAAAAGGGTGGTAAAGAGAAAGGGACTTAAATTAGGTCTCCGGCACCACACTCATCAGACTGTACACGGAATTGCTTCCATTTGACGGCTGTCTTCTGTGTGGTCGCGGTATTACTGGGGGCGAGCCCTGCACTGCTAAGATGTTAAAGCGGGCACTACCACTCTGAAATTTGTACCTCAACAGCGGTTCGCGTTTTTTTTTTTGCGAAAAACATCATTGTACTGAACTTTACATTCAAAATTCATACAAAATTCAATCCAGAAAACGGATCTCGTTATGAAAAATATACGAAAAAAATCAATCAAAATTACAATAAAAAATCTTTATTAAAGCATTTAACTTGATAGTGTCCAGTTTGACTAATTATTAAAAAAAAGTACTGAAATAGTTTATTTCAAATTAAAAACATGTCTACTAAAAACCTTAGTACATTTGCTATAAAAACTCCTTTGAAAGGGTTAGAATAAACCCTTTGAGAGCCAAATTTGTTTTACAAGATTACAGGTGATCAAGTTTCCTACTCCTGCCTATACATTCTCCGCAAAGCGTGTTCATATACGAATAGGGTACAAGTATGACGGTTTCCGGATATCTCACGTAGACTGTAACACCGGTGATGAGTGAAGAAATCTTAACAACATCACCTATACTGCGTACCCTGGAAAATATAACAGTCTTTATATAAAAGTCTATATATCTTACTAATATTATAAATGTGAATGTTTAGATGGATGTTTGTTTGTTAGAGTTTGTATCCTAAACGCCTGAATGGATTTCGATGAAATTTAGCATAGATGTTGAAGATAGTCTGGAAGAACACATAAGCTATTAAATTTTGTTTATTTTTTAATTAGGACAGAGTCGCTAGCGAAAGCTTGTATATACTTATATAATAATACACTACTTTGTGGCGTAGGATGTCAGCAATCACAGTATATTTTTGAATAATTATTTCTAAGGCTACATATTTTACGCATTAAACTTAGGGGGTAAATAAATTGGAAAAAATCATGTTGGGACCATAAACTACAAGCAATATTAAATAAGCAAGGTTACTATGGTAACGGTAATTTTGACATTTGCAATCAAGAATTTGACAAATTTAAAAAACTACCCTAAAGTTAAAGTGACTAGGCCATAGTCAACCTGCACTGCGGGTTGACTTCACACATATCTTTGAATTTCTTCACAGATATGTGCATCACGATGTTTTCCTTCACCGTAACGTCGGGTAAATTATGTACATATGAAAATTCGAAAAATCACATTGGTACAGGATTCGAACCCAAGACCTGTAGAATACAAGTCAAGTGTTCAAACCACTGAGCTACCTACGCTTTCAATGTGTTGAAAAAATGTAAACATTAAAATAAAGTTCTTATAAATTCACGCGGATGAAGCCGCAAGGGGGCAGCTAATTGATATTATAATTCCACGCAGAGTCGCGTGAGAAAAGTAGTGATAATATAGACAATTATATTACCAAAAGTTAGGTTCATTTGTCACATTAACTGAACCGCTGCTAACTGTGATGTTATTCAAACCAGTGTACACTTTGATAGCGCCATTTTGGTCACGGAGAACGGCAAAGCTGGAAGCAAACAAAACAAACAAATGTAATTTTTATATTATTTAGTTAGTTAAGATGTTTGTTAGTTTGTAGCCGAAACTGCTGAACGGATCTCTTAAGAAATTTCTAGAACACATAGGCTTTTTGAGCGAAAAAACAAAAAGTTTGTTATGTAGGAAGTCAGCAATCTTTCCATATTTTTGGACTGATTATTTTTTTAATAAAAAGTACACACTTACTACACGCTAGCTATCTTTACCATGCGTTTTTATTTAGGGGTCGATAAAATTGGAAATAAATTACGTGCTTCAACGAACGACCGACAACAAAATCAACACAGTCGCCATTGTGACGTAAATTCTCAACCAATGGCAATAAACGTTAACATTCGAGCATTTGTAGACATTAAAACAATATAGAGACAAGGCAGCGAAGAATTTTTTTCTCTCTAGTAATCTTTGAAAGGTACTATATCATGTCAAGTTTAGTGCAATCTCGTGTATTGACATGTAATAAAACATTTCATAACAATTATAATAAGCTCCATCTTTTGTTTTTAAAATAAACTAAACAGTGTAACAGAATATAAACGTTTAAATATAATTTAATGACATCTATTGGCAGTTAATTTAAATACAATTGCATTTTGTTTTGAGTATCTATCAATAGATGGCGTTTATGTGAAAAATATTACAAGTGAACTATGCCTCTTCTATATATTATTGAATCTCTTTTTGAATCAATGTTTTTAAAACAAAATACACGAAAAACAAAACAAAATATTCTCAAAAAAAACAGTACACTAAAAAGTAACGAAATAATTCCTTGAAAATAGTAAACCTACCTTATTGTAACT